TTGATGTTGGTATAATTTGTGGAGGGGAAGGGAAAAAACAAATTGTTTAAATAGGGATACAGGTGGACCCATTGCAAAAATGAGATGTACAAGACATTATGTCAAAAACAAACTTTACAACTTTGGCAGGGGAGGTGAGGGATAGGAAGGAGGGCAGAGATGGTAAGGGGAAACAAAGGAGGAGGCAACAATGCTTGATAAGAAATGTACCCATCATTACCTTGCTCAGTAATTGTAACCCCTCTGTATGGTATTTTCACAATAAAAAAACTTATTAATTAAAAAAATCACATGATACTATTTCTCTTGGAACTTAGACACTTGAAGGCATTAGTACAGTGGTATCAGCTTTAGGCCAGAAGAAAAAGACACTCTCCTAGGACTTAACAGGAATAGATCCTGATGGTTTTGTTTCTTTTCAGTCTTTTGTTTTTCTGAGAGACAGGTTTGGCTAGTTTGAACTTCCTATGTAGCATAAGATCACCTCAAATTTATGATCCACCTGCCTGACACTCTGGAGGGTTGAGATGACAGGAATATACAACTGTTTCTGGCAGAAGAGGATACTATTCACTCCAGCTTAAAAAGGGCAGATATAATCCTTCCTATGCTATCAACTCAAGGGATTGTGAGGTAGATTTATGAAGGTAAGATCTCCCTGAAGTTTTGCTTTGGACCTTTCCCTAAGAGAATTAGTCTCAGGTTATCACAATGTTGAAGGAAGACAAGGCCCTACCAGAAGGCAAGGTGAGAATTCTGAATGAAAAATGTAAACACCAATAAGCCCAGGACAGAAAAATTTCTATTGAACTCTTTCATTTCTACCTTCCTGGGTGTCCTAAGGCAGATATGGTTAGGCTCATCTTCTCCACATTAGGAGGGAGATGAGGACATTAAAATGAAAAGTTAGCTTCAAAGTAGAGATACCCAGTACCTGCAAAAACTCAAGATGATGACCTCTAATGTGAACAAAGACATCTGCCAGGCAGAACAAGTGGACTCCGCAAAGCCTGAAAATATCCCCACCCAGCAAGCCCCTGGACTACCTAGTAGGTAGCAACCTAAAGTGCACCCTCATTATTTCACTTAGTACTTAGGAGGCAGATTAGAGACTATGGGCCTATGGGCCTTCTGTGTTTCCTTTTTGAAAAAAATATTAAGCTGCTGTACAGAGGGGTTACAGTTACATGAGTAAGGCAATGACTACATTACTTGTAGATCATTGTTACTCCTTCCCTTCTTTGTTGTCTCACTATCCCTCCACTCCCCTACCACCCACACTGCTCCCCACCCCACCCCCCACCCAAAGTTGTAAAGTTCATTTCCAATATACTGTCCTGTGGGTATCATTATTGCAATAGGTCATCCTGTGTCTTTGTTCCAGCGTTTTGTTATTTCCCTTCCCCTCCCCAGATTAGACAACTGTATATACAAGATGCAAGGTACCAAAATCAAATACAGTGACAACAGGGGATACAGTATAGGGAAAAGAACATAGAAAGGAAACAAAAAAAATCGCCTAGTACATTTAAAATAAGAACAACAAAGACAGACCTTTGGTGTCCATATCTTGAGGCTGATTTCACTCAGCATTAACTTATATGATCATATGTACATAGCGCTTAAGATTTTCAGCTCATCTGATTAGATTACCATATATGTATACTATTATTGAAAATAAGGGAAACCATGGGGCCTAAATTTCTTTGGGACTGGCTTACTTCACTTAATATGATTTTTCCAAGTCTTTCCACATCCCAACAAATGGGGATGGTGTCATTCTTTCTGATGGAAGCATAGAATTCATGTGTGTGTGTGTGTGTGTGTGTGTGTGTGTGTGTACATTTTCTTGATCCATTCACCTACTGAGGGGCATCTGGGTTGATTCCACATATTAGCTATGGTGAATAATGCTATGATAAACATAGTTGTGCTGGTAGCTTTAATATGGCCATGTTTTGTCTTCATTTGGGTAAATGCCCAAAAGTGGGATTGCTGGATAATAGGGGAGGTCTATGTGTAGGCTTTTTAGGAACCTCCATACTGCTTTCCAAAGTGGTTGAACTAGGATACTGTTAAATAAATTTCAAGACCTTTAGCTTCTCTTTCTAGGCCCTCTTCTACACCTATTGGCCTTAAATTAGTCCTCTGATGGTATCTTCTATATGCTGAATAGATCTATCATATTCTTTGGATTTGTTTTGAATACTTGTCTGTTCTTTCTCTATAATGTCTAGGCTGTCTTCTATCCCAGAAATACGGTATTCTGCACAGTCTAGCATACTGTCCAGAAATTCTACTTTGTAATTTATTTCCCTTCTACTTGTTCAGTTTTAATGGCTTTAATTTCTTTTTTGAAGCTTTGGTTTGGGTCTTGCATGGATTTCTTTGCCTTCTTAATTTGGTTTTCTGTGTTCACTCTCAAATCCCTTATTTGAGTGGCTATACTTTCACTGTATTCCTTTTCCTTTTGTTGGACTTCATTCAGCTTTCTGGTTGTGGATTCCATGAATTCCTCTATTAATCTTTGGAACTGAAAATATCTCTACTTTCCCACCAGAACACAATTTTATGGTGAGCCTGATCCTAAAGCCTTTAGTTGCACAGACTTTGGAGATTCTCACTCAAAGATAGGTGTTTTTGCTATAACTCTACTTTTTTGGAGATGAAAGTATATCCACTCACTCCCTCACCAGAACACAATTTTAAGATAAGCACCACCTCAGAGCCCTGAGGTTGTACAGACTTTGGAGGTACACAGTCCAAATAGGTGTTTCACTCTATCAGTTCTCTGTTGGATATGTAAGTAGGCCCAATACTACCACTAAGCACAGTGACAAAATCCACTCTCAGGCAATATCTTTGCACTATTTTAAAGGTTCCCAATTATAGACAGGTGTTCCCTTATTTATTTCTGTTTATTTTTGTCCAGGGAGGGATATTGTGTTGCAGAAGTGTGGATTATAAACAGTTGTAATCAATGAGTAGCCTTGTTATGGTGTCTAGAATGGTTTGGGCCAAAGGGATAACACCCTGAGCCACTTTGGCACTGTCTCACTGACCACTGATATATTCTAGCTCAATGTTTCACACCTGAAGATCAACAGAGTAATGAAATCAAAGAGGGAATGAAGGTGTAGAAATAATTGTAAATGGGTTGAGGTGCAGTTAGAGGAAAGATTAAGATAATGAAATATAGAAGGAGAAAAATCAGATTAGAAGAATGTAGCAAAGGAAAAGAATAGAGGGAGGAAAGTTGGGACCTAACTTCTAAGTAAGAAAGAGAGAAGAGAAGAAAATTAAAAGACAAAGCAAACAAAAAGTAAAGGAAATAAGAAAAATATACATAAAATAAAAAATTAGAACAATTATGTATAAAGTAATAATACAAAAATTAGGAATACTAATATTTGTGATGTAGGAAATTGGGTGATCAATTTATACTCTGAATTAATTCTATACACAGTTAAGAAGGAAGGTCACGGTAGGCTATGTATTCAGTTGTGTTCAGAACAGCAATGAGGAAGGGGGAAAAAAACCAACAAGATTGTTGCAAAAAGAAAAAAAACAAGAAAACAAAACTAAAAACAAAACACATAAAAACAGGTAGCAGAGAGTTAAACCAGTTGCAAAAAGTAGAGAAGGAGCAAAAAATTTGTTTAAAGAACTTAAAAAGAATAAAGAAAAAAATTTTAAAAATATAATTGGTGAAAGGGGGAAGAGAAAAAAAGTATCTTTTATTTATTTGGAGGGGCTTTTATGTCTCCCCTAAGTCTGTTTTCCAGTCCCTTGATGGCATCTTTGATTTGCTTGTAGAGGTCAGTTTTCCCAGTTGCTTGGTTGGTTTCTCAAATGAGCTTGTTTGGGTGTGCAGAAAAAAGTTCTGCTTTACAGCCTTGGGGACTTTGCAACCTCCTTTCCAGGCTAAAAAGCATGATCTGCTTTTTCTTTCCTTTGTGCTGCTGGGAGGTGGTGGCTGGAAACTGTAGTTTGTTGCTGCTGTGACTAAACAATTGGGTGTGGTTGCAGTTTTGGCCTATCTGGAATCAGTGGCTTTTCCCAAAGTGGGGAGCCCCCTTTGGGCCACCAACCTGAATCGTCTCTCAGTTTTTATGGAGTATCCAGTTTTTATTTATTTATTAATGAATTTTAGTGAGATTCCTGCAGCTGGCTGTGCTTCCAGGGATGGGTGGGATTCCTTTGTTGCCTGCATGGGGGCAAGTCTGCCTCTCTGGGCTCACCAGGTAGTGAAGGTTGATCCTCCCTGGCCTAGTGAGGCAGGAAGCAGCCTTCCCCTGGGGGGAGCCAACTCTCACAGGTCCAAGTCCTTGCCCTGGACAAAAATGGTGCCACCTGCTGTTTTTGTGTCCTGAGTTATCTGCTAGCTGTAATGGCAGAGTCTATGCCAGTGTCCAATATGACGATCTTCTTCAATGGCATAGAGCAGGGGCTGCCTTCCTTGAGCTGTTCAATGGGAAAGATTGGGGATACTCACAGTTTCCCTTGGCTTTTTGGCCCATCCCTATCTGTGCCAGACAGAAACCAGCAGGATGTGGAATTCTGCTCCTGATTGTCCAGTCTGCACTGGAGGTGGGTGAGGACATGAGCTCCCTAGGTCACTGGCTGGTCCCATACCAGCTGCCAGCGGCTGCTTGTGCTCAAATCTGTCTCCTAGTGCAAACTGCCTGAATTTTTCCTCACTAGGCAGAATCTCTGTACTATTATGGCTCACTAGGTATGATTTTTCCTGTAGTGAGTTATTCCCTGAACTGCAAAAACTGGTTTCTTGGAGAGAACTCAGTCATAGCCCAGCTATATCTCTGCCATCTTCCTCCGGTCTCTCCCTTCAGTGTTTCTTGAGAACATAAGAAAACTTGCAGAGGAGAGGAGCCAAGCAAAAGCCAAAGTTTCTTGGTTGACTGAACACAAACTATCTCATTCTCTCTCTTCCAGATCAACAGAACAGCCATTCTTGTCTGATACATTTGAATTGAGTCACCATGCCTCGAAGTCAGAAGAATAGACGCCGTGGTCGGAAAAAACGTAATAAGACTGTGGAAAAAACTAAAGAGCAGGTGGATGCTCGGGCTACTGTATCAAAGGAACATGAGTATCCTTCTTCCTCCTCTACTAGCAACAAGGGAATTCCCCATGGACCAGTTGCAGAGAAATCCACCAATAAGCAAAGTCCTAAGGTTACCTTCTCCTCAACCACTAAGGCTACAGTTAGTGTAGGCACAAAATCCAATGAAGAAAAAAAAAGCAGTGTGAAGGAGAAGGTAAAACACATCCAAAAAATCACTAGGAAGTACACCAAAGACACCATCGATGAAATGGTAGTGACATTAGTGCATTACATGCTGCACAAGTATCAAATGAAGGAGTCCATTACAAAGGCAAACATACTGAGAAATATAAACCAAGCTCATAAGAACCACATTCCTGAGATTCTAAATAGAGTTTTTGAGCACATTGAGTTAGTGTTTGGCCTTGACATTAAGGAAGCAGAGCCCAATAAGCAGATCTATATCTTAGTCAACAAACTGAAAACATGCTCTGACAAAAGGTTGGCTGATGGCAGGGTTGTGCCCCTGTCTGGCCTGTTGATGACTCTCCTGGGTGTAATTTTCACAAAAGGCAACTGTGCTACTGAGGAGCAAATCTGGCAAGTGCTAAATCGGATGGGGTTCTATGATGGGAAGAAACATTTCCTTTTTGGTGAACCTAGGAAGCTTATCACCCGTAGATTTGTAAAGGAACGATATCTGGAATATGAGCAGGTAGCTAACAGTGATCCTCCACGTTACCAATTCCTGTGGGGCCCAAAAGCCCATGCTGAAACCACCAAGATGAAGGTCCTTGAGTTTTTGTCCAAACTCCATGAAACTATTCCTATTGCCTTCCCATCCTTATATGAGGAAGCACTGATAGATCAAGAAGAAAGATCCAAATCTGAAGGTGCAGCCAAGGATTGTACTGTTCCTAAGATCAAAACATGTTGCAAGACAAAATCCAGACTCTCCACCCAGCCCCGCTAAAGAATCTGTCTCAGGCAGATTCTTCACTTTGAAGGTGAAAAAACCAGTCCATGTTTTAAGCAAAAGAAGGTCAATGTGGGACTGGAGACAACACAATAAATAGTTACATTCTTGATCAAACTAGTATTTTGAATAATTTGTATAAGATTTTATTAAAATTAGCTCAAAAATCTAAGTTTATGAATGACATGGGTCATACTTTTTTCTACATTGGGAGATGATGAGAGATGTGGCTTAGTTGGCAGAGCACTTAGCTGATGATTGAAAACATCAGGAACTGAGATCAAATTCCAGTCTCAGACCAAAAACAAATTATTTATAATTTCACATATAAAATCTAATTTAGTGATATGGAACAATACACCACAGCAAGAAAAAGCAGTAGTATCTTTACAAATGTAAAATAATTAAGCAGTGTAATAATTGGGACCTATAAAGAGAGATAAAAGGAAAAGATCCCTATTTTTTACTCTGTCATCCTGTAAATTAAAAAGTATGTATTTGGAAATGCCTAGGTTATTTGATTATAGGACTGATCAGACCATGTTGGGTATGTTATTTGATAAACATGCATTTTTGCTATCTGAAGATTTTCCTTCTGGGATGGGAAGGTGGCTAAGGGGTAGGAGCACTTGCCTTGCATGCATGAGGCCCTGGGTTCGATTCCTCAGTACCACATAAGCAAAAAGAAAAAAGCTGGAAGTGGCGCTGTGGCTCAAGTGGTAGAGTGCTAGCCTTGAGCTGAAGAGCTGAGGGACAGTGCCCAGGCCCAAAGTTCAGGCCCCACGACCAGACCAAAAAAAAAAGAGTTTCCTTCTTTTGCCATCATATGATGATAGAGACTAAGCCTACTCTGTTCCTTGTTGAACTCTCCAACCCTTCAGAGAGTGCCTGACCCATAGTAGCTATTTCATTTTTAAATTTTTTTTTTGTCAGTTGTGGGGTTGAACTCTAGGCATGGGTACTATCCCTTCAGCTCAAAGCAAGCTCTCTACCACTTGAGCCACAGCGCTGCTTCTGGTTTTCTGGTAGTTAATTGGAGATAAGAGTCTCATGGACTTTCCTGCCAGGACTGGCTTCGAACTGCGATCCTCAGATCTCAGCCTCCTGAGTAGCTAAGATTACAGGTATGAGCCACCGGTGCCCAGCGCCATTTCATTTTCTAAACAAGGAAGTACTCTGTAGTCCAGTCTTGCTTTGAACTCTCTCCATTTTCTGCTTCAATCTCCTAAGAGCTGAGATTACAGCTATATACCACCATGTTAAGCTTTAACTATCTATCATACAGCTTTCAAAAACTGTGCTTCTGTGGAAGTTCAGTTTGCTTTCACCTTAGTATATATTCAGCTTTTAGTTCATGCAAAGTGTGTGTGTGAGGCGGGGGGGGGAGGAGAGAGTGAGAGAGAGAGTTTGCTGGTACTGGGAGGCTTGAAATCTAGGCACGTTTGCTTCTATTTTTCCCTACTCCTGACTAGCCTTCTACTACTTGAGGCACACCTCCAGTTCCCAGGTTTTTGCTGGTTAATTAGAGATAAGAGTTTCTAAGATTTGTCTGTCTGATGTGGCTCTGAACTGAGATCCTCAGAATTCAGCCTCCTATGTAGCTAGAATTATTGGTGTGAGCCTTTGGTGTCCAACCATATTTCTTAAGTTCCCTAGAGAGAACATCAACTTTGGTTACTGTTTTATAAATTATCTCAATGATCAATGTATTGCCAGAGGCCAACCGAAAAAATACTGATTTCCAGTCACCACTCATCTATGCTGATTCAATAGGTGAGGCTAGGACACAAGACTGAATTTTATCAATTAGGTAATTCTTACAATGAAGCAAATATAGGACTCTTTGTTTCAGCTTTCAGAAAATGATTGTCAGCCCACAGGTTGGCTGCTACTTTTTTTTGCGTGCCAGTCCTGGGACTTGAACTCAGGGCCAGGCACAAGGCTAGTGCTTTACAATTTGAGCCACAGCTCCACTTAACAACCTTTTGTTGGTGGCTAATTAAAGATAACAGTGTCATGGACTTTCTTTCCAGGCTGGCTTTGAATTGCAGTCTTCAGATCTCAACCTCAGGAGTAGCTAGGATTACCTGCAATGAGCCTATCAGAACCTGGCTTTTTAACTTAGGCTTTGTACTTGCTAGGTTGCCTTGCTTGCCTTTTTTTTTGTTATTGTTCTTTCTAGAGACTTGCACTTGCTAGGCTGGCTTGTTCACCTGCTGTTCTACCTCTGAGCCACACTTCCAGCTCTATTTTTTGCTATTTTGGAGACAGTGTTTCATGGATTTTTCTGCCTGGGCTGGCTTTGAACTTTGGTCGCTCAGATCTCAGCTGCTTAAGTAGCTAGGATTTGCAAGTATGAGCCACCAGCACCCGGCCTAGTTGGCTATTTCCATCAAGTGCCTATCTCTTATTAAATAAAGCTACTGGTTATAGGTGGGAAGAACAAAATATGGGTGCCTTGTAAGCCCAGCTATAGCACAAGTAAGAGTACCACAGCAAAGTGTATGACTCTTTAAGACTGGGATTTGAACATAAGCATTGTAACCACAGAATGTCCTTGTAACACCACACATACTATGTATAAAATTAAAAAAAGTCATTTTCAAGTCCCATCCATTTTGGAAGTTGCAATTCCGTGGTTTCATAATTCCAGTCCTTAATGCTTTGCTTACTAGTTGTCTTAAAGATAAGTTAAACATAGATTTTTTTTAAGCATTGATTTTGGTCACCTAGCTTTTCCAGTTTAGTGCTTCTGGACAAATGCACACAAGCATTTAAATAGAACCCAGACTCACCAGAGGCTTAATTAATTAAGTAGCTCATACTTGCTTCTGCTTCAAAATGGCATCCTTTTATTTCAGAAACCTAAATGCTGGGATTGATTACAGATGCTGTGCATGATTAGTTTTAATTTTAGCTCAAGTTTGCAAAGCAGATCACTAGTCCGCAAATTATGACAAGCTTGTTAATGTTTCATAAACTAAATTGTAAAGACTATGCAATTTTCCTGTGGCCTAACTCTAGGATTGTCCCAAGGTACTTTACTTTTCCTTTATATATTATGAGCAACAAAGGTCCCTCATGGTAAAATTTCTCAGGCTCATGAGGATGTTAAAAGGCTAAGGAATCCACCAGAGGCAAGCAGATGGGATACTTCTTGGTGATCCACACAGTCCATTGTAAAGGAAAGTAACAACACTTGCTCAGGCATTCTGGGCTGCCAATTTAACATGTCAATTATAATACCATCAGGAGCTGACTCCAAGGCTGAGTCTGCTGCTCCAGCATCCCTGTTGATCCAATGGTCTCCTGCGGAGACTGGCAGAACAGAATCATGTCAAGGGTTTCACCCAAGATCATCTCTTTAGGAGTCCAAGGGGGACCTACAGATGAAAGGTGAAGGTGCACTGTGGTGGTATGGAGGCCCACAGTGCAGACATTGTTTTTTGTGGTTTTGAATTCATTTCCCTTCTTACTAGTTCACCATAGTCCTCAGACTCTGTAGCTAAAATAAAATCAGGCTTAAATAAGGTAAATAAGATGTGGAATGGGGGCTCATGCCTGTAATCCTTGGTACTCTGGAGACTGAGATGTGAGGATTGTGGTTTGAAGCCAGCCCAGAGAAGAAAAGTCCAACTAATCAACAAAAAGCTAGAAGTGGAGCTGTGGCTCACAAGGTAGCCTAAAGCACAAATGCTCAGGAACAGCACAAAAGCCCTGAGTTCAAGCCCCAGGATCAGCACACACAAAAACAAAGAAATTAAAAAGAACTGAATTAAGCCAGGCACCAGTGGTTCATGCCTGTAATCCTAGGTACTCAGAAGGCTGAGATTTGAGGATGATGGTTCAAAGCCACTGCAGGCAGGAAAGTCCCTGAGACTCTTATCTCCAATTAACCCCCAGAAAACCGGAAGTGGCACTGTGGCTCAAGTGGTAGAGTGCTTTCCTTGAGGTGAAGAGTTGTGGGACAGTGCCCAGGCCCAGAGTTCAAGCCCCATGACCAACCAAAAAAAAAAAAAAAAGGATTGTCTTTGGTGTAGTAGGATCCTTCTGAGCCCACTACTAGAAATTCCTTGTAAAAGGGGTCTGCTTTGGTAGCAGAAAGTGTCTAGTCTCAGTCCTTTCTCACATTATAGTGCTTTTTCCCCTGGATCTTCTCCATTGCCCACTGGAACTGAACTACTGAGCACTACATTACTGCCACCTTCTCCTTCTCTGTGGTTGAATGACTAAGGGAAACTCTGAACAAAGAATAACTCAAACAGAGACCCAATCATCCTGAGAACCTTGAGAATCCTAAAGAAGTAGTGAAATCTGAATTCTGCCTCTGGCATTTCAGGGAAGTGAATGCTTGAATGCTTTATCTGATGTAGACAGTATCAAGTAATAGGAATGAATTTCACGCCTTGTTACAATTTGGCAAGTGCTCTCTTGTGGGTTTGAATCTTCTCCCCACAGAAGAAGAAAGTGATCCCTGCTGAATCATGTTCTTTTGTTATTCCTGGTCTACCGTGCGCAGGGAATGGAATATCCCTAAATATCTCCCTTCCATATGAAGAATCAGGAAAGTAAGTGCATTAGTCCCCAATGGTGGATGCTCGGCTATAATAAATGAGGACTCAATGCTTTCTGAAGCGATCACCCACCCAAACAGAAGAAAGGGACAATGAATTACCCTTGCTGTTGGCTTTGTACACATGACTGGCTGTGTAGATCAGAAATTCCTTCCCTTTGTCTTCTAGAAACTGAAGGGTGATGTAGGGAAGCCCTTGATTTAAGACTAAGTATCCCGAGGGAAGAGTTCCAACCTCAACACACTATTAGCTTTATGATCATTGTAGGTCAGCTGTAGGAAAGTCCAATATTCATGAGAAGTGGTATACTCCAGTATCTGCTTTGGGAACTCACAGAGAGAAGGAATTGGTGTGAAAGGGGTTGTGTCAAGTTGGTTGAGTGAGGCGTTACAGATCTTATCAGGAATTCAAGAAAAGACCTTG